GCCGGTCCGCGGAGGGGGCGAGGGCGGCGCCCGGGTGCCCGCCGCCCCGGAGGCAGGATGAGCATCGAGATCCCGGCGGGACTGACGGAGCTGCTGCAGGGCTTCACGGTGGAGGTGCTGAGGCACCAGCCGGCGGACCTGCTGGAGTTCGCGCTGCAGCACTTCACGCGCCTGCAGCAGGAGAACGAGCGCAAAGGCGCCGCGCGCTGCGGCCAGGAGGGCAGGACCTGGGGGGACGCGGGCGCCGCCGCCGCCGGGGGCGGCACTCCCAGCAAGGGGGTCAACTTTGCCGAGGAGCCGGTGCACGCTGACTCGGAGAACGGGGAGGAGGAGGAGGCCGCGGACGCAGACGCAGGGGCGTTCACCGGTGAGGACCCGACCCCCGCACGCCCCGGCTCCCCAGTGCAGTTCCCCCCTTTTTGCCCTTTAATCCTGCAGCTTTGCTCACCCACCCTTGCCCGCCTTCTCCACCTTCCCTACCTTCCTATCTCGCCTACCCCCTCAGCATCCATTTCTGTCTCTCCCACTCGCCCACCTTCCTACTCTGCTCTCATGCCCTCTCCTCGTCCCCTCCCCTGGAGGTTGGGAGCTGAAAGGTTGGGTTCTCGTCCTGGACTCAGAGGCAGAGGACGACCGGTTTGAGTGGGCATCTGAAAGACAACTTCCACTGTGGTTGGAAATATTTCGTTTGACGGGTACCATTGTGCATAAAAAACTGGCCCATTTGGCGTCCTCTTTCAGCCCTTATGTTTATTAATAGAGCGTCCAAAGAGAAGAGGTGAGGGGTGTTCAATTGGATTGGCTTTACTGTTATTAGGATGGCCAATTCACTAAAAGGAGCATGAAATTGGACTCACTGGGGCAGAACAAAATTTATGGTAATAGCTTTCATATTTTTGGAAACAGACAAATCTATTAATTTCCCATTTATCAATACCGCATTTTGTTGTTTTTGGACACACAACAAAGGATCCTGTTTAGCCTGCGACCCATGGGGTTTTTGGAATGAGGAAACGGGCTAGTGGTTTGCTTTTTATTTAAAACAAATATTGAATGATATGGAGCCTTTTTTTAAAAAATAAAAAGTGTGTGAAAAACACTGTAGGAAGTTCTGAAAGCTTGTTGGTTGTCTTTAGAATGAAAAACCAGTGAGTAATTGTAAGGACTGTGCCAGACACTGAAGCTGGAAAGAATGAATGGAAAAGAAAAAGGAATTTTCTCAAATAGCTGCTCCTGGCAAGTCCCACCCCTTCTGCTTACAACCCTTTTTCCCTAACACACAGACGGACACGCACATTTACAGCTTCCTGTGTTTACACGACATGCCCAGATCCCATCTTTATGGCATCCCAAGGCTAAAATACCATGGTGTGCAAATGTGCAAGTGTTTTTTTCTCTTTGTGGTGGAAAGCAAACGTGCGTTCAGCGTTGCACCAGCCTTTATTTATTTACACTGCTTGTGGTTTGTGTGTCCGCAGAGCATTTCATATAAGGAAAACATTTTCAAGTGTCATTTCCTTGTGCATGTTGCTAGGAAGGTGTTTCTTTTCTTTGCAAAATTATTGAAATGTGTTATAAAATCAGTGTATTTTTAGCTTGTCCAAAATAATCACAAAAGCCCTGGAAATTAGTGCTCTATGAAGATAAAAGGGAAGATGGTTACTTTAAAAATTTTAATTTTGGTTTTGTTAATGTTTCCAGGGATAGGATGATCATAGTCTTAATTGTTCTTTTTGCGCAAGAATTTAATCAAATGCCTTTCTTATTAGAAGCAAGAAAAAGATAAAATAATACATATTTTAAGTAGATGAGAAAGAGAAGCCAATGATGGGTGACACAGAAAGGGCAGAGGCATCTAATACTTCTTTTATGCTCCTGAGACAGGCATGCACACACACATACATACACATGCACACACACAAAGGGAAAAAGGACTTGTTTCCCATATGGGAGGAAACTAGGAATTTAGGGACTTGGTAAAGAACCTATATATGTTCGATACAATATATTGTCAGTATAACTAAAATATTTTGTTTGTATAATGCTTTTGAAGTACTTTGCATTGGTGATTCCCTTTTCTCCTTACAACAATGTGTATTGTACACAGAACAGATTTTATTTCCATTTTGCAATGAAGAAATAAGCCATTAACTTCTAAACAGCAGGGATCATTTTAAATGGTTTTATATTCTCCAAGGCACCTAGACTCTAAAAATTTCTCAGTGTGAGTTTTAATAAATGCTTATTAACCAATTGCACTATTTATTCCCCAGCCCTAGCCCCAAGGACTTTAAAACTTTTTTGACTGCAACCAAATACAGTGTGACCATTATCCAATACACACATCTGTGTATAGGTGTAACAGAAACTTTGGCAGTGGTGCTTCCTTCTACTTGGTGCAGTAGAAAACATCTACTAGAATATTATCTATTCCAATCAATTCTCTCTCTCGCTCTCGCTCTTTTTTTTTTTTTTTCTGAGGAAGATTAGCCCTGAGCTAATATCCATTGCCAATCCTCCTCTTTTTGCTGAGGAAGATTAGCCCTGAGCTAACATCTGTGCCCATCTTCCTCTCTTTTGTATGGGGATGCCTTCCTCTTTTGATGAGCGGTGCGTAGGTCCATGCCCAGGATGCAAACCTGCAAACCCCTGGCCGCTGAAGCAGAGCGCACGAACTTAACCACTACACCACCAGGCCGGCCCCCAATTGTCTTGTTTTTTTTAAGCAAATTGTGTTGAGACCTGCAGTTTAAAAACAATTATAGATTACCAAGGGGTTGGCAAACTTTTATGTGAAGGGCCAGACAGTAAATATTTTAGGCTTTGTGAGCACGATATGGTCCCCATCACATATTCCTTTTTTTTTTTTTTTTTAACAATGCTTTAAACACATCTTCCCTTTGGAGGTTGGGGTTGTACAGAACTGGCCCCAGTTTGCCAACCCCTGGTGAGAGCAGAGAAACAAGTCAAAATTGTGCCATTGGAAAAAAAAACAAAACAGGAATGAGCCTATCAGTTTAATATCTACATCCAAAGAAGTACCAAAACATGAGAAACACCAGATCCTGGGTAATTCTCCTGGCATAGTAAAGAGTAAGTACTAGAAGACAAGTCTTAATTTACTGTGACACAGCACAAGACCAGCTGGATCAGTAATTCTTAAGTTTTAATATGCATCTCAAGGAAGTTTGATTCAGAAATGAGTATTACCTGGTACCATTCTTGAAGAGCTTTTTTGAATAGGTTGGGCTGGGACATGGGATCTTTTTTTTTTTTTTTTACAGACATTCTAGGTTATTCTGATATCCATAGTTCTCTGAACACACTTTGAGAAACATTGATCAACAGATAATGATGATAATAATCTCTCTTATTAGCAGTTAAAAAAATAGCTGCCATGTATTGACCTTCACTGTGTGCTGAGCACTATCTAAATGCTTTAATTCATTATCCCAGCTTTATGAGCAAGATGAGCCTGTGACTTGCCCAGTGTTTCACAGCTAGTGTGCTGCAAAACCAGGGTTGGAACGTACACTGTGCTCTTAACTCCCAGGATTTATCTCTGGAAGGGGGTAGGGCTAGCATCACTTGAGCATCCCTTTTACATCAAGCTCTACTTTGAGACCCTTACTGTGTTTAATCTTTAAATTAACTTGAGAAATTAACTTGTCCAAGGTCACATAGGAGAGTAAGTAGCAGAGCCTGGTTTCTTACTCACATCTGTCTGACCCAAGACTATCCGGGAGTTCTTCCTAAATGAAATGCAACCTGTGGGCTGACTCACAGGTCAGGTTTTCCTGGTTATTTTTCCAGGAATGGTGATGAGTTTGCATTGATTGGTTCATACCCGTTTTCATGAATCCTTTTAGGACAAATGATGGTATTTATGAGAGGTTGGGCAAAAAGGCAAGTTTTTGACCATGAAACTGGTGCCCATTGACTCACGTAGGGATCAGGTATTTGATCTTGACCTCATAGTGGGGTGGTTGAATCAAATAAGTGAGCCAGGGTCTGGTAGCATGGCCGTTGGTGGCGCTAGGCCAGATGATTAGATGTGTGAAGGGAGTCTTGACTTCTTTCCTGCCTTTACAAAGGATCCCTTCCTCTGCTGATAGCTTTCCCATTCCTCTTCTGTGCTTTTCTAATTTTATTATTTCTAATTTTTACCTTCAGTTTGCTATGAATTCTGGTTAAAAGGGTAGGCTTTAGGTGTTAGAATGATAATGGCATATGGTGATCCCCCTTTTGGGGAACTCTTGAAGTCCTGAAAGAAGCTATAATGGAGACTCTGCCTCCCTCTTCCTCATCTTGCAGAAAGTGAATAAAACTTGACATCTCACCTCTGAAAAGGTAGTGTCCCCAGGTTAGGAATTTATTAGAGGGGTTTACGGTAGGCCAGAAAGTTGGATCAGTACGAACCTGAAGTGGAATCTCTGGTAATTAATGGTTTTATGCAGGCATCAGTGTGAGATCTTGTGTTGCTCAATAATTTCTTCAGTGAAATTGCTGAAATTATAAAATGAAGTAAATAAAATTCCACATTACCCCGATAAATTGACGGGTGGTCAGAAATAAAATAAATTACGTACAGGTACCTGAAGAGCAATCAACCTGGAAGAAAAATAAACTAATATAAAATATGGAAGAATTAATTTTCTGTATTGTGGCAGAAAAAGATAAAGAGCTCAAAGTGGATACACAAGTCAAAAATATAGAGCCATACCTTATAAAGCAAGCATGTCAAAAGTATATAAATAGAAATTTACCATGTAAAAACTATGACTTAATCCTGCTAACTCTGACCTATGTCAGCTCTTTGTTGGAGGACCTTATCCACCTTTGATTTTTTACAATCTAAAGGGAATATGGAGAATTTACCAGAGATCTTTAAAATCATGCAAAATATTGGAAAGTTGGAGGTGGTAGGGGTGGTGGTGGTGGTAGGAGATTAAGAGAACAGTTATTATGAGAAGAAATGGTTGAAGGAAAGTTGAGAAAAATATTCATGTGTCTGAAAAAAGTTTTCTTAGAAGATTATGAGCAAATATTCTTCATTTATGTTAGATACAGTGTTAGAAGAACTAAGTTTCTTGAAGAAGTAAGAAACCTGAAGAACTAAGTAACATGAAGAATGAAAGTTGGAAATTCATCTGTCTGAAATGGTTTATGTGGTCTTCCTAACATGAGACGGCTGAGCAATAAGGGCGATAGACAGATTGATTTCCCAAGAATCTGCTGTGAAAATGTTCTTAACCATGCTCATACTGGGAGTAAAAAAATACATTGACCTGTTGAGTTCATGACCTAACTGACAGCAGGAAATTGTAGAGAGTAATCATAACTTTAAAGAATTGCTGATTTATTGGG